GTCCAAGATACTGGATGCAGGCACAGCAATGACCTAATGCTTTGTGGCCCTTCTTCTGTACCAAAGAATATGGCAACAGGCTAGGCCTGAGCATTAGCTGTTGCTCCTTTTGGCTTTTTCCAAATGGACCCTGTATTGCTCTTCCCTGAGCCCACAATTTCTCTCTGGACCAGAGGAGAATGGTAGCCCACTTCCCACTCATCCTAATTTCAAGCATTTTGGTTGGCAACCATTACCATATGCATCCATTTATCCCCTTGCTGAATAAGTTGCTTGGGGCACATAGAAAGTTCAGTAAATACACAGGATTAAGGGGGAAGGAAAGTAAGAAAGGAAGAGATGGAAAATGGCAAGAATGAAATCGAGTATTAAATCTTTTTTTTTTAATGTCACTCCCAGGGCCAGAGAGATAGTAAAACAGGTAGGGTTTTTGCTTTGCATGCAGCAGATGCCAGTTCTATCCCCATCACTCCCTATGGTCCCCCAAGCACTGCCAGGAGTGACTCCTGAGTGCAGGAGTAAGCCCTGAGCACCACTGGGTGTGGCCCCCAAACCAAAAAATATATATATAAAATGTAGCACTGTAGCACTGTCCTCCCGTTGTTAATCGATTTGCTCAAGTGGGCATCAGTAATGTCTCCATTGTGAGACTTGTTACTGTTTTTGGCATATCAAATATGCCATGGGGAGCTTGCCAGACTCTGCCATGCGGGCGGGATACTCTCATTAGCTTGCCAGGCTCTCCGAGTAAAAATATAATAATAAAATGTAATTCACTATCCCTTTTTGTTGTTGTTGCCAATGACCAAGGGTCATAATATATGGTCATGGTGCTCATAGACAAGTAGTGAGTATGTTTGTAGAGCAAACCACACACTTGACTGTGATGTCTAGACCCCAAATGTCAGGGCCTCCAGTACTGCATTCAACTAGAACTCACGATCTCATACTTGCAAGACAGGCTCTTTGTTACAAAACTACATGATCACTCCTTTACATGTTTTTCATTTTCTCACTCTTGAGTACTTATTAATTCTTAGTATCAATGAGAATTTTTATGTCAATAAAAGGTATTATGAACTTAAAAAAAAACTGCTCAAAAGACTGGGGCACATGTTTTGCACACTTGAGCCCCAAGTTCATCACCTAGCACTGTATGGTCCTCCATCACTGAGTATATCAAACTGGGAGTAGCCTCTGAGCACCACTGGGTATTTCCCCAAAACAAAACATATACACTTCCTTCATGTGAACCTCAGAGGGTTTGTCTGTCTGAGAATGACTAATTGGGCCTTACGTAGTTCAGTCGCACCAACACATTCAGACATATGCCTTAGAGTCCATAAATCTTAAAAACAAGATATAGATATCAGAAAAGAGATCATGTTAAAGAGAAAGGTTCTTGCCTGCTGCCTTTCTGTGGAGTCTCTTATGTGTTTTGAGTACCTAAACACAACTCATAACTCATAAACACAAGACATAACTAGTATTCAAAATCATCTTCCAGGACTGCTCGAAATCAAGGAATCAAGGTCATGGAAGGGAAAAAGGGCAATATGTGGGCACAGGACAGAAACCTGCTTTCTCTCAATCACAAATAATGTCAGATGAAGGCTAGGGCTTACAGTTTCATGTGTCCAACCATATGGGCCTAAATGTAAACATAAAATATAGGGGCTGGAGAGATAGCAGGTAGGGTGCTTGCCTTGCATGGAGCAGACACGGGTTCTATTCACCAGCATCCCATATGGTCCCCCAGCCAGGAGTAAGCCCTGACCATTGTTGAATGTGACCACAAAACCAAACCAAAACCAAACCATATACTGTTCCAACATGCCAGAGGCTGTTCACCTTGGAGACCTGCTGCGGATATGGGTATGGCCCTGCGCAAGATTTACATCCTCTCCCCTGGATTTTCAAGGGCCAGTGAGAGCTCTGGAGCAATAGCACAGTGGGTAGGGTGTTTGCCTTGCATGCAGCCGACCCGGGTTTGATTCCTCCGTCCCTCTCGGAGAGCCCAGAAAGCTACCGAGAGTATTCCACCCACATGGCATATATGTGTGTGTGTATATATATGTGTGTGTGTGTAGTGTGTGTGTATGTGTGTATATATATGTATGTGTGTGTATATATATATATATATACATACATACATATATATCAGAAAAGCCCCAGAATCAAAAGCTAATAGAAGGGCTGGAGCAATAGTACAGCGGGAAAGGCGTTTGCCTTGCACAAGGCCGACCTGGGTTCGATCCCCGGCATCCCATATGGTTCCCTGACTACCGCCAGGAGTAATTCCTAAGTGCAGAGCCAGGAGTAACCCCTGAGCATCGCTGGATGTGACCCAAAAAGAAAAAAAAAATCAAATAGAATGTGCAGCTATGACAGATTATTTTATATAAAAGATTTTGAGAAAATAAATGAGCAACCTGTCTAGGTTCCTTCTATGTGAGGAAGTAGGGGAGTGGGAAACTGTCAGATAAACCAGGAGTACCAGCCCTAGAATCTAGCTTCTTAATATACTGATTCTGGCATGGACCACTGGTGGCTTACACATAGATGTGGCTTAACTAACATAATGTAGTACTCATGTCAATTTATTAAACTGTGGGGTTTAAGAACCCCATATGGGGTTGTATAATTCTTTTTAAAAAATTTGGGGCCACACCCGGTGGTGCTCAGGACTTACTCCTAACTCTACATTCAGGTATCATCAGGCAGGGCTCAGTGGACCCCCCTAAGCACTTCTGGGTATGCCCACTCCTTCAACCGCATCACCAAAAATAAAAGAAAAAAGAAAAAGGGCTAGTAATAATACAAGAATAAACTCTAGTCTTCCAGTGTTAGATAATCCCAAAGATAAGCCTTTTTTAAAAAAAAAAAAAAAAAAAGAGTCCAAGATATCATCTACAGAGTTAAGGAAAAGGCCCCATAATTGTGTGTCAGGAGAGCTATAACGAGCCAAAAGAGACCACAAGAATCATCCTTAGGATGATGAAAACATACAAGAGGACAAGACATAAAGATGAATGCAAAAAAATCACTACACCAGGTTTTTAGTGGGCCAGAGAGAGAGTACAGTGGGTAAGGCCCTTGCCTTGTACACAGCTGACTCTCGTTCAATCCCTGGCAGCAGTTATGGGTTCCCTGAGCCCCACTAGGAGTAAGCCCTGAGCACAGCTGAATTGGCTGTGAAACAAAAACAAAAGACCCAAGGTTTCAGAGATGGAAGTCAAGGATTTAGCCAAAGGTCTTCATGCAGCAGATGAATGGTAAACATTAGCTGCCACAGTCACAGAATAGCACCAGTAATATTAAAATGTCAAGTTCTTCCTTATGTTGACCCCAAACACCCAAACTCAGTTTTCTATGATCTGAAATGCTTCTTAACAAGGGTAGCCTCTGTTATCAACTTCTTTTACTGACACAATCTTCACTTGTAGCTGTGCTCTGTTCTGTAAGAGGTAGTCTATGCATTCTAGAGGAAGACGCTGAAGTAGTGCATTGATGGGGAACCAAGTCTGTCTATGTTCTTTGGCCCAAATTCAAGTACTGGAAGCACATGGACCATCTCTAATCCTCTACCGCTTACTCCCACCACCACCCTGCTGCTTCCTGAAGTCAGCAGAAGTCCACAGGACCAAGACAAAAATCACCAACACACCTGTCACCTCCCACAGGCAATCCTGCTCTTCTATCTAAATCAAGCCCAGGCTTGGCCAGGTGGCTTTAAAAGGGCAGTCTCGGAAAGGACGTAAAGAGGGACAAAGCCTGATGGCTCCATTTTCTGTCCTCTGCTCCCACACACTTAGGCCTCTCTACTCCCTGCTGGTCCCTCTTTCCTAGGATTGCTAGAATGATTTGTTCTAAACAGCGACAGGTTTATAGGTTAGCCGACACCTCCGCTCTGTGGAATTTTAATTAACTTCTCCCATCGTCAATATGCGAAGGAACCGGGTCTCCATTCTCTGAGGTCAGCAATGTGTTTCAGGTCCTGCTATATCAGCCGTCAAATTGAAGAATTAATGACGTGGCTAATCGGCTCTAATTCTTCAGGAAGAAAAAAATTTGAAAGGGAGTTGTGGAAGGAGCAGGAGGAGGGGCAAAGGCTTCATGTGAGAAGGAGAAGGGGGCTGAAGGGGGCTGAGCGGAGGGGAGACCAACTCCCTCATAAAACAAGTGACTGACTTAAAACCAGTGTTGAAGACTGGCAGCCCTGCAGCTTTTTCATTGATCATTTGGGTGGAGAGCGGGGAGGGAAGGAAGTGGGGAAAGACTCTCGGTAACTCGGTAACTGCGGCATGGCAGGTGCGGAGAGGGAGGGCATCTGTGCGCTCTACTGAAGAGGCTTGGCCTTGTTTCAAGGGAACCGAGAAAGCAGAAGTCAGGACACAAAACTCAACTCCTTCATAGGTAAAGCTAGAAAAACAGTAGCCAAGCCCAAAGGTAGGTCTAACGCCAACATCAAATCTTTGGCATCTCCAATGCAGTGTCACTGAATCCATTCTCATCTAAGTGCTTTGGGATGAGAGAGCAACTGGACCTGCACCCTCATAACTGTCACAATGACCTAAGGGAGACTCCAGAGGATGCTTCCCAAGGGAAATGAACTACAGATTGAGTTGTGAGCGGAGGTTGTCGTTATTATCCCAGAGGTTCTGAGAGACCTCTTGTTTGGAAGCAATCCCAGAGACATATGCTCAAGAAGGGACACACTTCTAACAACTGAACTCATTTACATTCTAACACAATCTTTTCCTTCACATGTCTCTGGTTAGGTCCTTAGGAAATTAGCCATAGAAAAGTATCTCAAGCCCACACGTATATGAAGAGAGCTACAAACCACCAGTCTCTAGGGAGAGTTACAAAATCTCCAGGAGAGTCACTCAAAGTAACCCACAAAACAGAAGCAGAAGGTTTCCTCACCTACCTAAACCTCGTATAATAAAAGCCTCATTATACAGGATAAAATCATATTTATAAAACCTCTCCCTTACCTGAGCAATGGACTGATAGCAATGGACCAAACTCGATCTTCAGTCTGAATGGTGTGTAAGCACTGCCCCAGCCGTCCTGAGGCCAGAGGCCACACCTAGAAATAAGAGAGGAGATGCTCTAGTTGACACTGCTGGGAGAGAGATAAGGGGGTTGCGGGGTGAGATGTGGCAGGTGGCGCCACTGTCCCCACTGTGTAAGGAAGCAGAGACTCCTTTCTGTCCTATATAGAGTTCAAGGTAAGGCAGAGGGCCCTCTCTAAACTCTGCTTGGCCTACCACTAGCTCTCAGTCCTGACCATCTTCTCCAACTTCCATGTAAAAGCCATTTCTTACCAACCAAGATGATACTGGGGTACTCGAAGTCCCATATTCTTCAGATGAAATTTGCCTGAGAAGAGTTCGTAGAGGGGGTTCCCCTCTCTCAGAAACCTCTCCATGATTGTGGATTCTTCCCTTTCCTATCTCACACCAAAATTTTACTATGGGGAGGTAAGGAGAACGAAGACGGTCAAGAAACAGTACAGAGGGGACAGAGATCAAATTAGAGCAGAATAAGAGAAGTAGTAAGCAAGATACAAAGGAAGGAGAGAAGAAGAAAAGAGACTTCAAGGAAGTCTTAGGTGATGTGTTGTTGTTTATTTGTTGATAATGCTCAGGATTCAATGCTATTCATGTCAGCAGGGAATTTAGCACCTAGCATCACCAAAAGTAGCAGAAAAGCTTAACTCTTTTAAGCTTCCATATCTCCTACAGGTTAAAAATATTGCTGGGAGCAGACTATCTGGTCCCTATCAGTCAGGAATGTACATTAGCAGCCACTCTGGGCTTAACTCTAATCAACACTCACAGAGCCCTCTCAGCAGTCAGTGCATTTAGAAATCTCCCATTAGGCACAAGGCCCCCCTCACCTTACCCTACCCTAGATGACACAGGGAAATAAGCCTCTAACCAAACAGAAAGTAAACCTCAAATATACAGAGCTGTCCACAGACAGCAGCCAAGGAGAAATCTTGAGGCAGCCAGAGGGATCAATGACCTCTCAAGGTCCCTATAGTGCTATAAGGGGAACACACAAAACATAATCAGGACCTTACATGGAAGAACTTCAACATTCCTAGACTTTAAGTGATAGAGGGTGGTCCTGCCTTTGTAGGGTCACGTGTATCTCTTTCCCTACAAAAGGAGAAAGTACTTTAGATTTTGTGTGGGAAGAAAGGTATGAGTTACTTTTCCCAACATTAGGAAAAGAAAACAAGGAAAAGAAAATCCTGGGTAAAGAGGGTGAAAGAAAAAAAAAAAGAAGGAAAGAAAAAAATTACCACAGCTTTCCTGGAGTACCACGATCCTGACTCTTTCAGATACAGTCAGAACACCTTGGTAATAACTAGATGCACTTCTTAAGTTCTCTTTTAGTTAGTCCCAATTTGGAAGTGAGGTTTGTCATTTTTCTAATGCAAAATGCCCAGGAGGCAAGTTCTTATTTGGGATACGAGAGACAGTGCTCTCATCACAAAGTCTTGGGAATAGTCCTAGACCGGAATTTACAAGTCTCATCCCCTGAACAAGCCTCCTGTGCTCTTCCCCCATCATCTCACTAAACAAGGGTGGATTCCTAAATTGTGCAAGCCACCAAACACAGCTCCTGATCCCCAGAAGTGGTTCAGGAAATATGCTACCAATTCTAAACACAGTCTCTGAAAAGTGGCCTGCCCCTGCAGGATACTATCCACTAGAAACAAGTGCATGCTGATCACACCTTTACCCTCTTGATCAAATTCAAACAATTTGGAGAAAATATAACTCAATGGAGAATGAACATTTATATAGTCCTTTACAAAACAGATTAATATTATGTATCAAGATCCTTAAAAATCAGCTTAGGTAGTCTGAGAAAAATTCAAAACTGGGGTCAGCACATGCAAGGCAAGCTCGAGGCCATGACAAGAAGGTGCCAGAATGAGATGAGATGGGAAGATCCAGGTCACACATGTTACAAGGGTTTTCATGCAAACTGATTCATAAGATATAGAGCAACACCAATCTCTCTGCAAGTTTTGGTACATGACCAAGGGCTAGAGAGATAGTACAAGGTTTAAGTAAGATGCCTTGCATGTGCTGACCCCAGTTTGATCTTGAGCACCATTATGAGTGGCCCAGGAAGAAAAAGAAAAGAAAATTCGAAAAGCTAAAGAAGGTATGTGGCGGGGGAAATGGGAATACTTGACAGCAATTTCAATCGCTGTATTGGTTCTAAACAATTTTTGGATTTTTCTCAGACTACCTAAGCTCATGTTTATGCCTCTCTGAAAAAATACAAAATGTAGGAAGAATACAGTAGAGGGAAAGAAAAGTCCATAATAGAAAAAAACATGTTTATTCCTTCCTTTTCACATAGATTAGCAACATTTTACATGACAGAGTAATTGCCATTGGGTACAGATTGTCAGTAAAGTTAGTGAGAAAAAAAAAATTCGTTTTCCTTCTCCTGAGTCCCCTCCGTATGTGTCCAGAGGCCCATTTGCTGGCACAAACAAGCATTTTGCTCTTATTAGCACTATGGAGTCTCCAGATGCTGAGAAACAGATACACGAGATACATCAGGCCTTCTGCACTATCAACTAAACTGTCACCAATATTTCCAGTGTTGACCCAGTGGACCAGGCAGGCATGTGTGGGTCTGCCTAAGGCTGCCAACAGAGGAATGGAGAAAGGTTCTTCTCCATCTCATGAGTGGGCACCTGTCTGACCCAGACATGGATGAGACAAAATCCACAAAGCAAGAGTTATGCAACTTATCAGCTTCATTCTAGTATGCCTTGGCAGATGTCTGACTGTTGATCAGACAATTTGGCCATGACACAATAATCAACACCCTTCCCTCATCATCTTTCTATTGCTTACTGACCACGTAGCTCTCCAGAGAAGCAGGCAAAACACATTTTAATTATCAGCTTGATTGCTTATAAACAGGTGGTGAAAAATTAACCTCCCTAAACAGAGAGCAAGCAAAAAGAGAGAGATTTTAAAATAAAATATTGGGGTTAGAACTTAACCCACAACTTGAGAAAGCTCAGCTCAGGGAGGAAAAGCTGGCCAGGCCCTCTGCTTTGGCGTTCATGCCACATTTCAAGTGAGTGGCAAGTTTCCCAGCCACCGTCCACTCATTTCTCAGTCCAGCTGGCAGAGACACCGCCTGGCATGGTAAGCTGCATGCCAGAGGCACATAAGTGAGTCCTTTATTGTGTTGTACCCCTCCCCGCTCTCACCCAATGCTCGCAGCCAATCCTAAGATTCGAGGCCCTAACCACCCTCTCTCAACCCACTCCCTATAGACAGAAGGGAATAACTATGTAAGGGGAAGAACACCTCACCTTGGCCGTCCTGTCCCTGGAGCCACTCACAATGATGCCCCCTTTGCTGTCCACACAGTTCACCTCCTGTTCATGAGCCGAGTACTTGACAGTGAAGGTGCTATGAATCTTATGAATGCCAATCTTCCCATCTCTAGAAGAGAAACAAGGAGCCCACCCCAACAGCCAATTATTCACGCTGAAGGAAGGGGAAATGTCTACAGAAACAGCCCAAGTCTCCAATGATGTTTAAATTTGCATCGGGTAATTCAGCCCAATAAGTTGCTGAGTATCTAAATACCTTTACTTCTTCAGGTCAGTTAGGGCGAACTGAGCTGTGAGACAAAACAAATTTCCCCCTGTTAGTATCAAAATCTGCTTCACGTTTTATTCAAGACTCTTTCTATTTTCCCCCCCTCGGGTTAACCCTCCGTATTTACCATTGACAAATATTATGCTTTAGATGAAGACAGGGGGAAAAAATACGCTACTTCTTCCCATATTCTTTCTTATCTCTTTGAAGTTAGAGACAAGCAGACAGGCAAAGGGTCCCTCAAGAAAACTAAGGAAGCAGAAATGGAAGAGATAAGACAGGGATTTGGAACTTGCCTTGTACAAGGCTGACCTGGGTTCATCCCTGGCACTCATTATGAGTTCATCCCTGGCATCCCATATGGTTTCTTGAGCACTGTCAGGAGTGATCCCTGAGAACAGAGCTAGAAGTAAGCCCTGAGCAGTGGTGGAAGTGGCAAAGAAAAGGAAGTATGGCCAATGAGATAGTATAGTACTTGCCTTGATCAACCCAAGTACTATCCCTGGCAACACATATGATTCAGCTAGGCAAGCACCTGCAGGAGCGAGCCCTGAGCAGAGCCAGGAAAAAGTCATGAGAAAAATACAGTATGGTCCAAAAACCAGGGACCGAAAAACAAAAGTAAGAATACTAAGGAAGTAAGTAGAAGTCAGGACCTGTAGTACTCACCCTCCTGCACTGATAATGTGTGAGTTGGCCAGCACAAAGTGGCAAACATCCTCATCATGTCCAGCAAAGACTCCCGTGGGCCGACGGTTCAAGCTGGCACCATCCGGACGGAACTGATAGGCCAATATGAAATTAGCTTGGGATATGTACAGAGAATCACCCTCTAGCTGCATCCAGGGCATCTGACTGCAAAATTAAAAACAAAAATTTGAACGTTATTAAGATACAGCATAAAAAATCAACTCCAATCTTTGCAGTGGCTGAGCAAGCCCAAACTCAGCAAGGATAACTTACAACACCAAGTTTCATCAAAATCACCTACCATTAGAAAACTCTGAGTTTCATGGTGACCTAACTTTCTTTGGATTTTCTTTTTAAAAAGAATTAGAATTAAAAGGATACCTCTCTCTCTCACTCACTCTCTCTCTCCTTAAAAATCATTTTGGTGTTTGGATTAAACCCTTAAGTGCTGAGGGAGAGGATATCACTCCTGGCTCACTGCTGAGGGATCATTCCTGGTAGTGCTCAGAGGGCTATTTGGAGTCAGGAATTACAACCAGGCCTCCTGCATGCATACCATCACTTTAGCCTTTTGAGTCATCTTTCTGATCCCTTATACGTCACTTTTAACTGGGGAGTGCTTAAGACTTGAATCACTTGTAACCTAGACTTCTTGTGGATAGGTGAACCTTAGTAAATTCAATGATTGGGTTAAAAAGAAACCTTTCAGTCAGATGAAGTAACTTGCTTTCATTCTGCATTCTCACTGATCTTAAGTGAAAATGAAAAATTTAGAGGTTCCAAGATTCCCATGTATTCTTCTCTAACAGACAGTTAAGATATGACAGAGAAACATGAGCCTTGGGAAGCTCCATTCCCTGGTTCTACCTATTACAGCAAAGGGACATTTATAAGAGAAAGGAATAAAACTACTTAAGAAAGGATGTTAATGTACTGATTAAATGCCTATATCCTCATGGGGGTACCTACTTTTTTTTATCAGAAGGTAAGTAAGGCAGAGGAGAAACACAGCACCAGAGCAATCTACTTCAGTTCAGCAGTTACAGAGATAGTCACCTTTTGTAGGAAGCAGGTAAGAGAAATCCACAAATACTGAAATATTTCTTCAAGGTAAGGCACACAGCTGACCCTGTTTTAATCCCCGGCACTGCAAGTGATCCTCTGAGCACTAAACCCAGAATAAACCCAAAGCACCATGTGCTGTGACTCCAAAATATTCCCTCTACAATCTAGCAGGAGAAGTAAAGTCAGACACCACAAGCCAACTCTATGGCATGGAGTGAGCCTTCCAATAAAAAGGACTGCCGCGCACTGTGCTCTCAGGGAAAGCCTAAGCTCCTTGCCCGGGACAGACAGCTGAACAGTGTGACCTACTCGATCTACCAAGAGAGTTCCAGAACCACCAGACCTCAAGCAAATTTTAAGGGCAGCTGATTCATCCCCATTTACAGAGATACTATCTCCCACTGCCAACACTGAAAAAACTGGGCTGTTTCTTCCCCCAGACTCCTTAATACAAGCGTCATGGGAATGCGGAAAGTTCAGCAAATTGACTTGTCAGGCTATTAAATGCAGCCTGGACTTTGTAGGAACTGAGTTCCTTCTCATGAGGTTTTTACAAGCATGTGTATATAAGAAACATCGAGAGTGTAGGTTAGAGTGACACAGTGTAGAGTATGTACAAATGCTGTATTCTAAGTCATTCTTCGTATTCCTCTACAACATCCTCTTACATGGGTTTGTGGCACACTCAAGTGGGAAAAAGCAGAAGGAATTGGAATTCATGTGTTTAGAGTCGTCTGGTACCAGTTATTTGCCTAGGACAAGAAACCAAGTTCATGCCAGGTAACAGTGGAGAATCCCAGCCCACTAACTGTTTGGTGTGTTTATTTGTCAAACTGTTCAAAACCAGATAAAAAAAAAAAGATGTCGGGACCAAAGCTTGATAGAGAAATAAACTCTTCTGTCTGCCACTAAGTGGTAAGCAGAGAATAGAATAATGCCTTTCACATTACAAATGCATCTTTCTTCCCTTTATTATTTATTTACCAGTGCTACTATCACCACCACAAAATTAAACTGGTGTGGGTGGAAGTAGCAGAAACTGGGTGAATATAAGCAAGAGAGAAAGGTCGTCAACAAAGAAGCCTACCTACATCAATCAGCACAAGCAGAGGCCAACCTGAAATGAAGAATTATAATGTTCCCTATCTATTTCAACCTATCAACAAGGAATACTTTTTTAGTGGGGAAAACATAACTATGAAATAATATAGTATCAGTGAAGCATAGAGTCCGTGACATTAGCAGTGCCAAAGTAATCATCTGAATTTTCGGGGGGGGACCAGAGCAATAGTGCAGAGGGAAAAGCATTTGCCCTGCATGCAGCTGACCCTGGTTGGATCCCCAGCATCCCACGTGGTCCCCCAAGCACCAACAGGAGAAAATCTTGAGTGCAGAACCAGGAGTAACCCTTAAGTATCACTGGGTGTGGCCCAAAACTATAAATAAATAAATAAATAACTTTTCTGGCAATGGGGCCAGAGCAATAGTACAGTGGTAAGACACTTGCCTTGCATGTGGCTGACCCAGATCCCCAGCACCCATACGGTCCCCCAAGCCCACCAGGAGTGATTCCTGAACAGAGTAAGCTCTGAGCACCGCTGGGTGTGGTCCAAAAACCAAAAATAAGTAAATACATTTTCTGACATTAATCTAAGCTCTCTCTACTATAACATGATTATCCAAAATCTTATATTCTATTTCCCCCCAGAAAATAAAAGTATATTCTATTTAACAAAGTAGGAAAGAGGGTGACCAGAAGCCGAGAGTGAAGATATCACTTCCTAGAGAGAAAGATTAAAGATCACCACCAAAGTGTCCTCTTCCCTCTTGTCTCCCTTACCCTACACTACCCCAAACCCCATCTTCCCCTACTGCGGTAAGCTCAACTTTGTAATCAGTTCTCAGTTCTGTTGCCTTTGGCCATTTTTTATTCCCTTACTATGTTTCTTTACATCCAACATAAGTGAGATCATTCTGTATTTGTCCATAATGCCTTCTTTTTTTTTTAAATATGAAAAAAAAGATTGTCCCTCTGATGACACCTTCTTTGTGGTGTTTAAAGGCTCACCGGGGCCACACCATCCAAGGCAGACAAATGTTGTAGCTAGGTTCAGATTTTCCACTCTCAGCAGGGTTTTCTTAGCTTTAAAAGAATTAAGAGAGCACTCACCTGCATTTCCACTTCAGTAGAATCCCTTCTCGGCAGCGCCCCAACCTCCAGTTCTGAGACACCTTCACCCGTTCCTTCACTGGGATACTTGACATCCTATGTCAAGACAGAAGAGACAATCTCATCATTACAGCTTGATGTCAACCAGAGAAAATACCAGGGCTCTACTGTGTCAGATCTCAAGAACATATATACTGTTTCTGATATGCAAAGCAGTTGGGAAATAAGAAAAGAATAACTCTTCTCTCTCCATATTAGGAAACTATGAAAGCCAAAATTGTGTCTATAATGATGCCAAAGCAATATATTCTGGGGCCAGACATGTAGTTCAGATCACTTGAAGTCCAGAGGCCTCCAGATTAATTTGGCCTACCTTTTCAGGAAAAATAAATTATTCAAAATCTCTCTGGATAGATGCAGTGCCCCCAGGGGGTGGGGGGAGATGGTGGGGAGAGGTATCACCCACGTTGGGAAACACAGCTAGTTTTGTGCATGTTCAAGCTAAATGTTAACACTTTTGGAGGGAGGGTGTCACGTCCTGGTGGGGCTCGGGCCTTACTCCTGACTGTGCATTCAGCACGCAGGAACACTCCTGGTGAGCTCAGGGAACCATATGGACTGCTGGGGATAAAACCAGGGGCAGCAGCATGCAAGGCAAATGCTCTACCTGCTGTACTAACTCTTAGGCCAATAAAATCTTCATGGGAAAGATTAGACTCTCTATAAAATCTTTAGAGGAGAAGTCACACATGGTTGTGCTTGGGGATACTGCCTACTTGGTGCTCAATGAATGCCAGGGAAATCAAACCCAGACCTCCTGCATGCAAAGTCAAATGCATTCAGTCCAGAGAGCTGTCTCTAAGTCCCCTACCTATAAAATCTTCCCTGCAAATTTCTCCCAGACGCATAAGAGATCACTTGTCCTTATTAACCTGTCTGCCTGAAAAGTCAATAGGTGAAGGTCAAATTATAAAACTGGACATCCGGACCACAGAACACAAGGGGGACAGAATCTATGTATTTCGGAATTGGGAGGACAGTACACCTCTCATCCTCTGGTCACTTAACTGCCATTTTAGGACACTTTACTAAGGGTCAAAGCATTCCCCCACAGGCCTATCCCAAGCATGGAACTTTTACTGCCGAAGCCAGCATCTCTCCAAACAACAGGTGCAGGTGTCCTCTCCGTGGCCAGCATCAAAGTCACGACACCTGCCTGAGTCCCGCTAAACAACCTGCACCTCCTAAAACCATTCCACAGGCTTTCTACTTGAGTTTTTCCTTTTCCTTTTTTAATTCTAGTAGCGGTAACACGGTTACAAATTAGCTTTTTTTCTTTAATCCCTTTTGTTCATTCAATCCTCTTTGATGCTTAGTTTCCTTAACTAAAAGCCAAATCCCATCTGTATTTTTACTGGCTTCAGCATGTGAAAAATCAGGAGGAATTTAAAAAAAAAACCTTCTGTGGGGCCATCGAAGTTCAGTCAAAGCAGGTCCCAGAACAAGGCAGCAGGAGTGTCTAAGGAGACTGGAGCAAGAGTCCCTGGGAGTTCAATCAGGATCCCTGCTTTCATCTCAAAATGTTCTGGCTGGTCTCTACAATAGCTACTAGGAACAAATGGGGTGCTTCCCTGCAGCCCCCACTTCTCCTAAAAATTATTTGTGCCATGCCCTGTAAATAAACCTCTTGCATGGCTATTAATGCAAGGAGGAATCTCTAACCTGAACTGTGGGCCTAGTGGAACTTCCATTTTCCCAGCCCTTCTTCTCTTGCCTCGGGCTCTTTTTCCACTTGGGCCCCCCTCTCTCGGCTTTCCGGCACTTAGTCACCATTATACTTTGACTGCATTCCTAGGCGCATGACCTATTTTAAACAAAAACAATACAACATGCACCCATGGTAAACTATCAGGCCCCTTAAAATCTTGGCAACAAGTGAGTTCAGAGGGACAGAAATTAATCTAGGCAGTTATCTAGAGTCCCCTTTCATTTCACCTCTCCTCATTCACATCCCCACCAAAAAGCAAATAAATAAACCTAAAGATGGGGGGTGGGGTGGGGGAGGGGGAGGATGGCTGGAAGGCAATGAAGAGGGAAATGTGGGTACTTGGGAAAGATCTTAAACTTGCATAGTCTGTAAGATCAAAAAACTCCTGGATCAAAAAAAAACATTTCCCTTCCCTGCCACATCTTGAAGTTTTATTTTCCTTAATGCCACTGCTGCTGCCTACCTGCATGACTGGCATGATTTTCATCAGCATAATTTCCTGCTGACTTAGGAATTCGGGAAATTCTGTCCAATGTATAGAATAAGGCCATCTTAAGGGGCTCTAGGCTAAGAAGGGCAGGACAAAGCAATGCAAAATGATGGTTGGAGGTCCTGGAATTTTAACTTTACAGTCTCTTGATTTCTTTGATCTTTGATCTTCTTGTTCTCCAGTAAGAAGATCTCTTCCCCCATATTGCCTGTGTCTAATAGGTTTTGACCAACAATATTTTATTTTAAGGTACAAGTATTTAAAACAGCCCCAGACCAAAAAAAATGGCTAACTCTTCATATACATATGTGTATTCGTCTTTCAGGGACACATCCAGTGGTGCTCAGGTCTGGTTCTGTGCTCAGGAAGCAGTCATGTCAGGGATCTAGAAACCCTATGCAGTATCAGGGATTAAACAGGGAGTCAGCCGCTTGCAAGGCAAGGCCATTACCTCATGTACTACCTTTCTGATCTCTCTTTATATTTGCATTAGATTAAACCCTCCAAAGGTCTCAGTAGCTGAGGTCTATATTTAGGGTATGGAGGGTGGGGTTATTTGATTTTGGGGCAACACTGAGAGGTGCTCAGAGCTTACTCCGGGCTTACCATGAAAAGTTAATGGTGCCTACTATAGTAGATTCAGTCTAAGGATGTTTGGTAGTGTTTGGTAGAGGCAGAAATAGAGCTTACTCTGTACTAAGGGATCACTCCTGGTGAGCTCAGGGGACTATATGGGGTGGTGGGAAATCAAATCTAGGTTAGCGGTGTGCAAGGCTCCAGCCCCAAGTTGGTCTTTCTTTAATTAATTTTTTAAAATATTGTGTTAAATTTGCTTACACCTTTAAGGGAAGAGAAAACTGAATAGCCCCATACCCTAGGGGGGAAGCTATAGGGAACATGCCTCTACGGATAATGTATAAGGAATGTCTATATCGTCTACTCTCTTGAAAGGTCTTCAAATGTCAACCTACTTTACTCATTTAACCCCCACTTTCATAGACCAATGGGCTCATAAGCTCATCTCTTCTACCTTCAGTCATACACCCACACCTTCTCCTATTGTTGCCAGCACCAGCAAATTATCTCAGATAATTTCTTCTTCCCATTCTTCATGATCAGCTGACATCTCTACTTCTAAAACACTCCTCTCCATCTCACCCTTAGACTGAACCTACCATAATAGGTAGTTAACTTTTCATGGCTGTAGGTCTTATTTATCCAATTCGGTTATAAATTGCACAGGATTGAGTCTTAAGTCTCTTAGTGCTTCAAAAGTCTCTGTCAACTAGTATGCTACACAGCAGTAGTATACCAGGAATCTTGAACAAGTCTTTTCTACTTTCTTTTAACTAAAGATCCACATGTATGAATATTTCTGTCAGAAAAACTATCAAGTCATAAGGTGGCTCCTGACACAATCTGCTGCAAATACAAGATTGCCTGTTCAGAGAAACAAACATGAAGTGATCTCAAAAGGATGAAAGGAAACGAGTCCCAGCAGTAATGTTCTGTTCAAATAGAAAAGTGTACTTGATACTCTAAACTACCTGATGGCAGTGAACAAGTGAAAAGTGTTAACAACATGGGATTTTCAATGTCTGAAACTTCATTTTAAAGGCATTTTCCCTTTAGTATATTAATAAAAATTCTAAGTGTAAAAAAGAATGTCTTAGAAACAAAAGGTGCAAATCATGGCCATGGCATAATAGGCACCATGACAGATACTGCTTAGGAACTGCTTAAACAAGAGTTCTCAAAGCACAGTTCTCTGGCAAGTCACCCTTTCAACAATGCCTTTAAGATTTTCAAGAGCCTGGACATGTTACCCTTGAGCTCTTCCTAAAAATAGTACTATACCACATCTTCTAAAATCCAACCAAAGCCTCCAAATTCTTATGCTAGAGAGGCTCAAAGGAAAAACTCCAAGCAGAAAAAAATATCGTAACGTGACACTCGCATGTAAAAGCTGTCCAAGTAGGTACAACAGGTAGAGCACTTGCCTTGCAAGCAGCCAACCTGTGCTAATCCCTGACATCCCACATGGTACCTCAAACACTACCAGGAGTGATTCTTGAGTGCAGGGTGAAGAGTAACCCCTGAGTATCACAGGGAATGGCCCAAACACAGGCAAAACAAAAAGGTGCCCAAATAGTTTCAGAAACATACTCCTTATCCTTTATATAAACTTAGGATTTAGGACCATGTTCACATTCATATTCATTTTTACTTGTAATTGGTCAAGTTATATCTGTCTGCAAGGTGTTAAGAGATAATAAACAAGGGACATTTTTATGAACAAGACATTTTTATCTATGTTGGTTAAAATAAATTGAAACAACCCTCTATCACAGGACTTATCACTGACTTTAATTCAGCAATGGGCATTGTGAGTCCCCAAGAGGGGATGCAGAGCACGGTATTTCCCGATCTCGGGATCAAAACCCACAATATAGCTGAATGAGCACTTTCTAAGAATAAACAAGAGCGGGGAAGATGCTACAAAACATTCTCCATTGAGTTATGAATTAAGTTCCACCAGACTCAGAAGTGGACTTTGTTCTCATAGCTTTAAAATGACCTCTCTGAGCTCCCCATATGAAATGTGGGAAATACTTCTACTACTCTGCTTCTCAGGGTTGGAATTTTTTGTTTCTTTGTTTTTAATCTTATAACTGTGTTCCATATTAATCACCAAAGCAAGTTTTCAGCCCACGGGACCAGGTTTCAAAATCCCTGGTGCCCTTTCTGCCTTGATGCAAGAACAGAGAGAACATGAACCAGAAGCCACCCAGAAAGTTTTGACATCTCCAGTTTCTAGACTATTATGATAGAGTCATA